AGAGAGAGAGAGAGAGAGAGAGAGAGAGAGAGAGAGAGAGAGAGAGATAGACAGAGAGAGAGAGAGAGAGAGAGAGAGAGAGAGATAGACAGAGAGAGTTAGAGAGCTCAATCATTGTTCTATCATTCCCACCCACCAGCCTCCAGCCCCTCACTTCTTCCCACAGGATTGCATGGATATGCTGTTTGTGTGTGTGTGTTGGAGAAGGTGCTGTTTTCTTTTTTCTCTCTCTTACTAGCCAACAGTTACCCCTACCTGAGCAAACACCTACCGCACGCCCACCACCAACTCTTCCTCTCTCGTCTCTCTCGTTCACACATACATACGCCCACACATGCGCCACTGTGTCTGTGTTCGCCTTGTCTCCGTGTGGTTTATTTGCTGACACTTTATGCGTTCAGATGTTAGCAAGGAGGTGTAAACAGACGTGCTTGACGATAAAAGGAAAAGGAAAAACTGACCAACCGACTTCCATACTCTTGTCCTTTTGATCGATTCTAATAGTGGAAGCAAAAACCAATGCTATTTCTGAGACCAGCTCTGAATCTAAGTCTAACACTCACCAGAATATTGAGCCTTAGTGTCGAACAACTTATAACTAGACCAAGAGTCTTCAGCCATGCTGAGTGCTTTGAGCTAAATGCTAACTTTAGCATATAAAAATGCCCCCAAATGACTGTGCTAGCATGCTGGGGTATCATAGACTGTATATAAGAAGTGTTAGTGGTCTGCGTGACGTCACCCATTGGTTTGTGGATTACAGTTTGAAGCCTCAAGATCGGCATTTTGGCCATCGCCATCTTGTTTTTTTGCAACCATAAAAGATACAAGAGGATGGAGCTAAGTACAACTGAATGCTGAATAAGACACATCCAGGCAACCAAAATGTTACATTCACCTTTCATGGACCGCAAACAAACCGTGAAAGGGTTAAAGTTGGAAGACGAAAACACGAAAAAACAGCCAGACTGAACAACGCCTCGGTAACAATTTGTCAATTGATAAGAGCAAAATGAAGCAAAGTGCAATGGAAACTGACTTAGTGAATAAATCATGATGTACATGAATTAAGTGAAGCTTCTTCACCAACTCCGGTAAAAACAAATCTGGCTCCTTAGCTTGCCAGATTTGTGATTTTTTTACTTTAGCTGGTCTGTCTGCTGATGGTGCTGGGGAGACACCATAGAGTTGGTTTATTTAGAGACTTTTCTAAGTAAATGGTTGCCTATGGGAGACTGGGGAGAGCTGTTCAACAGACAGAAGAGGACACATCAGAAAGAAGAAACAACAAATCAAAGCCAGTACAATAATGTGAGGGGTACCCTCTATCTAACACCATTACATTCTCTAAACACCATGAGAAGCTACAAGGTACTGTAAGTCCTGGACAGGGCACCACATGGCATGAGCTTCTATGTTACAAGACTCTAATAAAGTGACGAAAATACTACTAAAGCAGCACATACTGGTATTAAACCCTCAAAATATTAGGACGCTATCATAGCTGTCCAATCGTATTGATTTGACGTGGGAGAGCAGCTGCACACACAAAGAAGATATGGACGAATGTGCTTAACAATTAAATGGTTATAGCCTGACAACCTCCTCTGAGAATTGAAGGAAACTTAAGGTTTGAAGTAATAAAACACAAATATGAGCAGATGCTCGCCGTCACGGTGGTAACCACAGAGCCACGCTGTCGCCTCAGGCAACAGAGATGAGTAACATTAAGCTACAAACCGCCGTCTGATCCCAGAGTCAAGGCCTGATAGCTGTCTGGGAACCCCCTTAATAAAAAAAAAAAAAAAAGAGTTAGGGAACCCCTGTGTGGTGGTGTTACTGTAGCTTTCAGTCACAGTGCCAGTTTTGTTTCTGCTGCTTTGCACTTCACTTTTGTAATTTAATCAGCTGCTTCTCTGCCTCTCAAGCTCCACCTTTGGCAAGCCAACACGGCAATTAATTGGCTTATTAAATCCCTCCGCATTGCCCTATCAGCAAAACGATCAAAGACTAATCCTGCCTTTGTACTACAGGACTGCATGCAGGGAGAGAGCAGAGTAGCGTTTGCTGGAGCGGCTGACTTAATCAAGGCTGAGAGTTGTCAGTGAGACAAAGTTATTGTGCGGTGAAGTTATGGACTGGGTGCAAGGAAGGTGGAGGAGGCTTTAATTACAGCTGTTGCTGCAGTCCGGGTGTATTTGCATATCTAATTTAGAAAGTGTTCACGGAAGAAGGTTTCGCCACAATCACCTCGTTTCATTAATATCAAGCTCACGGTCAAACCTGTGAGCATCCTACAAACTATGTGTGTGTGTGTGTGTGTGTGTGTCTTGGGGAGGACTAATTGAGGCTAATTTGTGAAATGACTTAGCCAGAGACAGAGAGCGATGGCCAATGCCAGGTCCGATCCCGCAACATTTGTCATTTCAGAGAAAGGGCAGCCAATATCACTCTATCTCTGTCTCCCCCGATGTTCAGTTAATCGATCTCTCACACGCACACGCACACACACACACACACACACACACACACACACACACACACACACAC